GATGGTATTGCTAAATGCTGAATTTCTGGAGAAATATAATAAGTTCCTCTTGATTGCAGAAATTGCACAAGTTTATCTACCATTTGTAACCCTTTACTTTTTTAAAGATATTTCAATTTTTTAGAAAGGAAAAAAGTGTTATGTGGCTTTATAGTGTTTAACAGTGAACTAGTGAGTTGATGTTTGCTTATATATTCATTTGATATCATATTAAACTTTATCGAATAGTTTGATGTTTAATTTTTAAGTAAAGGTTATCTATACAATGAAAACAAAGAACTTTCATCGTAAAATATGTCAATCATTACTTTCTTTAATTATCCAAACTTTAGACCCTTTTTTAGTTTGATTTTAGTTTTTATTTAAACATACAATGACTAGATAGTTAGTATTTTGATGGTATTGATCAGCAACATATTTAGGAAGTTTATTTAATAGATTATTAAAGAATATTTGTAACTTTTTAGCAAAACTTTTTTTACTAGTTATGATAGTGAGTGGGCAAACAAACTATTTTTATTTTGACCTAATAAAGGTAATTTCTTTCCATAAAGTATTATTTAAAAATACTGTGAAGTTTATAATTTTATACAAATGCAAATACATCTAGACAGTCAAGGTTGTGGTGATGAGTATAACATAACTATTACTTAAGGCAACAATGTACCTGGATACTTTAGGTACATCTTCACTCTACATAGGGACAGTGAACTTACAGCATATGCCACTTCACTTATTAGTGGTAGAGGAGAATAAGATTATCCTGGGTATAGAATTATTCATTATTTTGTACACCACAATATTCCATTGTGAAGCAAGCTAAAATTTATTATTTTTAATCAGGAAAATGCTGAGTTGACATTTATTTTTGTGAGCCATGACACTAATAAATTATGTTGAACTAACTGTAATGGTAATACCTCAAGCACTTGGAATAATCGAGAACAGTAAGAAACGAAAACACTAATTTTCATTACTTGATTATTTTTATGACATTGATTAGTTTAACAATAATTATAATTAATTGATAATTGCATATGACATTAATCAATGTGAATGATTAATTGAGTTAATTACCCATCTCTAGTGGTGATATGTATCTTTCAAAAAGAAAACACTAACTGTTATCCTTTTGTAAATAATTCAGATTTTTCATACCAATATTTAAGCTTCAAATATGCACTTCTTATAATCTGCCTCCTACAAATGTAAGTAACTTAAGTATTAGTAGTGGCATGTGTCTGTAAACAAAAGCTGTCGTCTAGTAGAATTTGTATATCCTATCTAGCTAATGTTTTACTGCAATTTCTAGTAATGAAATATAATAACTTTTTTAATATATCAGCTTGCTTCCAGGTGGCCATGTTTTATTGAATACACTAGAAATACAAGGCAATATATCATACACATATGCAAGCAGCAAGTTTTTGGGCTTAAGAATGTTGCATGTGCAATGTACTCATGTTAACATGAAATGAGTTTTAAAAACCACATGTTGCATGCAAAGAGCTTATAATAAAAACTACATTATTTAAATTGTTTTGTTAATAATCATATATCTCAAATTCCTATTTAAAGTATAGAACAGAGGCTGTAAACCTTCTTTTTATATACTACTAAGTGGGATAATTGTTCTGACCAAGAATTTTCTTTTGATTCTAATGCCAAAAGATTTTAGTGTAGTGTATTTATGAATAGTACATAGCATACTTAGTAAGACATTCCACCTTGGAGCATTTGGACGGACAATTATTTTGGGATTGTTCTGACAGTTTTCTGTGCTTTTTTAAATCCTAAATGGACATGGCACGACTGTCAGAAGAAAGAAGACACATGGGATATAGTTCATAACCCTTGGTATAGTTTTTCAGCAGTTTGGGTGTATAAAATAAATACATATATTTTCAAATTTGCTGCATATTCTCATTGTTAACTAGCAGTTATAAATCTTTTTATCAGACTAAGCAGAATAGTTGTTTTAAGCACTGTAATGTTTGGCTTCAGAACAAATATGCTGCCTCTAACACTGCATGTTGTAAAACAGTTGATTACCTCACAATTCATGAGCATATTATACTAAATTAATTTGTGTACATTCATTACATGAATGTATATTATAAAACATTTTATTGCTGGTTCTCGAGCAAGCAGTTAACGTGATTAATTGATACAATCATCTACCTGTAACTATCAGTTACTGTGATATAAAATAATCTGTTAATAGAAATTATATTAAATTGATTAATGTCACAAAAATAATCCATTAATTGAAATTAGTGTTTCCAGTTGTTACTGTTTTAGATTATTCCAGTCGTCCATGTTATCAAAATGTTACCACTTTGATTTCCAATTATTATGTTTGATTAATTCAAGTTTCTTCAGCTTTGGGGCCCATTGATCAGGGGAGGGATTTCTGATAATTTAAGGGTCTCTGGTGCAGTACTGGATTAATGCATAGGTAACCTAGGCCTGGGTCTAAGGGCCCTGTCAGCCCCCAAGTAAAAAAATTATGGTTTTTAAAACTAGCAGAATAGAGGCAAGAGTGAGTTATTATTATTCCCAAATAATACCTGGGCCTAGGACCCCACTAAACCTTAATCTGGCCCTGCTCTAGTGTGATTCCTGTTGCCACCAAAGGTGTTAGCCTTTTCAGTGATTAGGGTGTTGTTTTTGTATTTTTGAGCTATGGCAAAGCTACTAAGCCACTGCCCTTAATTTTGAACTGTCAATCAGAGATAAGGCAATTGGTTGGCAGCTCCCACCACTAACTCTTGGCTACTTGAATGCTAAATAAGGTTTACATTTTCTGTTGGTTTTTTTTCATTGCGAAATGTTTTTTAATATGATTGTGTAACTGAATTGTTTAATGTTGAATTAGGTGCAAAATTATTTTTCTTATGTTATCTTATAATCTGTGAAACTATATTTTTTTAAATTAAATGAACTTTAAATCTGTGATAAAATTCGTGGAAGCTACAGATTTTTCTTTTAGGATTTTGTTTCCAAAATAGATAAACTAAGAGGAATATGAAAAAAATTCAGTTTTGGTGATTTTTGACACAAATTTTAGGCCTGTTGGTTTCTAATACTTTGTTACCTTTTAGTTTTTAAACTAAAACTGTAAATTTACTTTTCCATCATTGTTTATATGTCATCTTTGTAACACCACATATCGTACTGTCTTGAACTTGTGTCCTGGTGGAAGTTGTAACAGGCATGTATTGTACCTTTATCATCTCATATCTTTCCAGGACCACTGCATAGCATGCCTTTGGTGCAATGTTCTAATATATATCTTATTATTAATTTATCATCCCTGTGTGATTGCTGTCCATTGGCTGTTGTTATAATAATTTATCTAAATTGTTGTTTGGTACAACAGTGTTTTTGTTAATAGACTGTTTTCATACCTCAGAAATAATATTAACTGTATGATAAACAGTTATTTCAAGAAATGTATAAGTAGTGTGTGGAATTTTCTCCTTCATTTAACCGATACTGACCATCAGAAACCAAGAATCAATCATATACAAACGTGTACAGTTGTAATGTGCTACAAAGTTTTTCCATGTTTTACTTTACATGGATTAGGCATTTGTGTAGTAAGAAAAATTAAGCAAACTATAAAATATGAATTAGAAATGTAAATATTTCACATAGTTTAAAAATCCCTGCCGTGATGGATTTGATACTTGTAACTTGATCTGTGTCATAGGTAGACTTGGATGATTAGTGGTAGTTGCTAATCAGTTAATTGATGACCCCATTAATCAGTTAGTACAGTATATAAATGCAAAAAGTCAGTAGTTCAATAAATAAAAAAGTTGGTATCAAGTACTGCCAGCCAGTTATCTTCCCTTTAGTCAAAAGTTCAAGATTAATGACAGTGGCAGATAGCCTTAGTAGCTTTATCATAACATTGACAAGATAAGCATAAGATAGTCCATTAAGTTTTTTTGTGCATAGCAACAAACAAATATAACAGCAGGATACTTCTATATTTGGAATAATTGATAATAGTTGTACTCAGAAACTCTGATTTCAGTTAGTTGATTACTTTTTGTGACAATCAGTTTAATTGTACTTTCCATTAATTAATTGCTGGGATAATCAAAAAATTAGGCCTGGCATGGCCAGGTAGTTAGGGTGCTCAACTTGCAATTTGAGGGTTGCGGGTTTGACTTCCAGTCCCACCAAACCTGCTCGCCCTTTCAGCTGTGGGGCATTATAATGTGACATTCAATCCC